AAAAAAAAAAAAAAAACCTATCCTGGAGACCACTCCAAAGTAGTGTATAGAGTTCTTCATAAGGACTTTTTAAAATGTACCTATGTTTATGTCCTTTTTATTCTTGAAATCATTCACTGGTACCTCACCTTTCTCAGGATAAAGTCTAAACCTTATGAGGCCCTTCGTAATCTGGCTTTTACTTGTCTATCTAGCATCTTTTCTTTCTGTGCCCTCCCCCAACACACTTGTACACATGCATCAATGCACATGCATGCACATACACACACAATTGCTACTACTGCCATATTGTTTTTTGTTTTTGTTTTTGTTTTTTTTTTAAAGACAAGGTCTCACACTGTTATCCAGGTTGGAGTGCAGTGGCACCATCATGGTTCACTGTAGTCTCGATCTCCTGGGCCCAAGCAGTCCTCTCACCTTAGCCTCCCAAGGAGCTGGGACCACAGGCATGTGCCACCATGTCTGGCTAATTTTTTTTATTTTTGTGGAGACAGAGTCTCCCTGTTTTGCCCAGGCTGGTCTCAAATTCCTATTCTCAAGTGATTTTCCTGACAGCCTCCCAAAATGCTGGGATTAAAGACGTGAGCCACCATTCCTGGCTTGATTTCTCTTTTGAATTCTTTTCAATTCGATGAATGGACCATGAGCAACCTCCCCTGGCTACTTTTTGTGATGCTCCCAACTGCATAGAAGTCTGTTCCTGGCCGGGCATGGTGGCTCACACCTGTAATCCCAGCACTTAGGGAGGCTGAGATGGGTGGATCAGTTGAGCCCAGGAATTTGAGACCAACCTGGGCAACATGGCGAAACTCTGTCTCTACAAAAAATACAAAAGTTAGCCAGGCATGGTGGTGTGTGTCCGTAGTCCCAGCTACTTGGGAGGATCACTTGAGCCTGGGAGGTAGAGCTTGCAATGACCAGAGATCATGCCATTGCACTCCAGCCTGGGTAATAGAGCGAGACTCTGTCTAAAAAAAAAAAAAAAAAAAGTGTATTCCTTTTCTCTGTCTTCACTTGTTCATCCTGTAGTCCTTAGCTTAAACATATTCCTGGAAGCCTACCTTAATTTTTATCACCCGATGAGGTAACCAACCAGAACGCCTCAATGCAGGTCAGATATTTCTTATTCTATATACTAGTGGGATCCTTCCCTCTATTTATTATACTTATTTATACCTAAAATACCCTAGGCTCACTAAACATAATAGTACTAACATTCACCACTCAAGAACTATCAATCTCCTGATCTCTGAGTTAGGTGTCTTTCTTGTGAGCTGATTCAACATTGCCTGCTTATCATTGTTTTCACATTCATCCTACAGTATTCTGGTTGTTTACTTATCGGCATTCCTCTGTTAGACCCCTGAGCTCTGTGAGCACAGAAACCAGGGCTCACAGGACAGGATGGCCCCAGTGCCTGGCACTTGGTAGGCAATCAGTAAATATTTATTGACTGAAAGTGGCAGAAAGGCACAAGCCCAGACATGCATTGCAATATCCATAAGAACTAAAACTAAACTCAAATGGAATTTGCTCAAATGTAGTGATCTAAGCAGAAAACATGAATTGCCTTACTTATTGTGGAGCTGTAAGTGGAGTCCAGAGCAGCCAGCGTGGGAGCCTCCAGGTCACCCTGGGGTGGTACTGGCTCATGGCTTGGGCTGAGAGCCAGAGAGGGGCACCACCAACTGCTCCTCCTGAGAGACAAAGAGGTCGGCAGGGCCTGGGGGAAGGGCTAGAGATTAGAAAGCAGCCTCAGCCTATAATTTCCAGAGATGGTGGGAATGGTTACTATGGGTAGGATCTGATGGAAGGAACCAAGCTGGAGAAGAAGAACCTGCCCTCCATATAGGAGCAGGCACCCAGGCCACACTCAGTCATCTCTCGGTGGGGGCCTGGGCACAGGGGCCAGGCCCTTCTTGATGTTGCTGGGCCTGGGGCTTACAGGATGCCCAGGCTGAGGAAGAGATCAAGCAAGAGATGAACACACTGCAGCAGAAGCTGAATGAGCAGCAGAGTGTGCTTCAGCGTATTGCCGCCCCCAACATGAAGGCCATGGAAAAGCTGGAAAGTGTCCGAGACAAGTTCCAGGAGACCTCAGATGGTAAGATTTACCCTTCTACTTGGGCCTATGATAAGGACAAGAGGCTAAAGGTATGCCACGGGCCTGCTGTACATCACAGCAGTTCCTGTTCTGACATGCTTTCTTACTTAAAACTCCCAGGAGCCCTAAACAGTAGGGGTTATTACACCTGCTTTATAGAACAGAAAATTGCTGAGGTTCCCAGAGGGTAAATGACCTGTTCAAGGTCACGTAGCTGGTTGCTGGTAGAACACAGGGAGGAATCCATATTTGTGTGGCTGCAGGCCCCTGTTTCTTCCTCTGCATTGTATCCAGTGGCCAGTCCACTGGATACAGATCCTTCTGGGACCCTCCTCAGGCATTCCTCTCTCTCTTGGTGGGATGTCCCTGCTCTGGATTGTCATTTGCAGGTCCTTCTTGCCAGGGCACTGAGGGGTCACCTGTCTTTCTTTCTGGCAGAGTTTGAAGCAGCCCGAAAGCGAGCAAAGAAGGCCAAGCAGGCATTCGAACAGATCAAGAAGGAGCGCTTTGACCGCTTCAATGCTTGTTTTGAATCTGTGGCCACCAACATTGATGAGATCTATAAAGCCCTGTCCCGCAATAGCAGTGCCCAGGTAGGCTGGAGCCCCTTACCCAACCAGCTGCTACCATCCTCAGTTATCTTTCCCTCTAGGCTTCCTGTCCCTATCTCCATCCAGACTCAGATACAGATCCTGACCCATCTGCCTTCCCCTAGGCATTCCTGGGCCCTGAGAACCCTGAAGAGCCCTACTTGGATGGCATCAACTACAACTGTGTGGCTCCTGGGAAACGCTTCCGGCCTATGGACAACTTATCAGGCGGGGAGAAGACAGTGGCAGCTCTGGCCCTGCTCTTTGCCATTCACAGGTAAGGCTGATCCCCTAGGTCAGTTGACGAAGACTGAACTGAGGCCACCAGAGGCTCTGGGGCCCAAGG